AATACCCTTCAGCAGCAATAATGGTGTTGATGAAATTGAACTTTTAATGACATATGCAAAGTCACTGTGAACATGGTTATTCTACAGCACTCATTTGGAACCATTTGGCTGAAGCAAGACCATTCCTCATGAGATATAAATGAGTAACTATACAGAAGTTTTAAGCAAGGCATGTATTTACGTTACTATCCTGACACATCATGGAGTCAGCCAGCTTTGGTGACTATGCCATGAAGGAAATGATTTTAGCAAAAATCAATCCAAATCAAACATGAGTGTCAATTTTTTAAATTTTTTCAATTAGGTATTCAATTGACAGAAACACAGACTTGGAGAGGTACTTCAATATTGATGCCAACAGTGGAGTTATTACAACTGCAAAATCTTTGGATCGAGAGACAAATGCCGTTCATAACATCACGGTCCTTGCAATGGAGAGCCGTAAGTTGCATGGTTTAACACTGCATTAGGATGGAGGACAATGAGAGTGGAAAATAGAATGTTGCATGAGATTATAAAATGATTGCAAATTGTGACAGTTGCTTAATTGATTTCAATAGCAAAAGTGAGTGTCCAAAATTTCCAAGATAGAAAGAAAAACCTTATATTATTTGCCTTGTATGGTAACATTTACAAAGATTAATGAAATGAAAACAGAAAAAATAATAAGCCTGCATTACTTTTTGAGGACTATTTGTGGTTCAGTGGCCACAGTTTATTTATTTCATTTATGCTGATAGGAAATTGGCAAAATAATATACAATAATTGCTAACTTGATTCCTACTGAAATACTTCTGAATATGTTCTGTTGACTTAATTTTATTTCCTCCTAAAAGCACCATTTAAAATGCATATCCAGGCTTGGGAGAAACCTCTGTGGTCTAAGTGCTTGGTTGGAAAGCTCAAGGACCAGAGTTCGATTCCTAGCACCGCATGCCATTCTGGTCCCACTCTGAGCCAGCCACTGAAACTGGGTGTTGTGGAGTATGCCTGTAATCCCGGCACTGGGGAGGCTGAGACAGGAAGGTCACTACCAGTCTGAAATGTGTAATGAGACCTTGTACCAAAGAAAGTTAAAAAAAGCAAGATTTTAAAAAATTAAAATGTGTAACCATATGTATATGCACATATTATATAAGTTAGTTAATAGACGTATGAGTACAATATATGCATATATAATATGAATTTATATCCATGATACATGAGTTGTAGCATCAAGGACTATTAAATTTTGTCATTTATTATTTATTTCAACAGCTGTCTTAATAAAGAATAAAAGCAGATATATAAATATATAATATCACATAAACATGTATATTGACACATGTGCAAGTATATAAACATTCTTATACTTACATGTAGACCTCACATATACACATACCCAGTATAATGATGTGTATACATGTTATGTAAACTCACAGGTGCATACTTGGATCAGTGGATCTGTGGCTCCTTGAAAGAACATGGAGTTGTGATTCTAGATTTCATTTGAGATTTATTCTTTTTTAGAGGTGGAAACACTTTAGCTTCATTTTAATATAAGATTCTGCTTGTTGTTCATGTAATTTTCATTACTAAGATAACAGCAAAATAATACATTTTATACAAAAGTGCATGATGTGCATTTTCTTATTTGGTAGAGAATCCATCTCAGGTAGGAAGAGGTTATGTGGCCATCACAATCCTGGACATCAACGACAATGCCCCAGAGTTTGCCATGGACTACGAGACCATGGTCTGTGAAAATGCACAACCTGGACAGGTGAGTTTCAAAACATTTTACTCTTCATTTGTGATGTTTTATAAAAATATCCAGTAGCAATGCCTTTGAAATCTTCCAGGTTGAGATAACGTATAATCAGCTTGTTTCAGCAAAACTAACACTTTGATGTAAAACATGAATTAATATTAAAGGAACTTTCAAATCCTGGTTTAATTGGTTGATGAAAATTCCTCAGGAAGAAAGGGTAAGCATCTCAAAAGCTTTTTAAGTGATTAAAGACTGAGACTTCCTTCAAGGAGAAAGATATCATATTAAGCTTACTTTGGCCATGTCTCATATTACAGGCAGTGTAAGTACCCTGAGGGTCTAAGAATAAAGTGCAGCACCATCCCAGTTTGCTTCCTTTATTCCTCTTGTTCCGTGTCTTCGGTTTGTTCATTCTTTCCGATTGTTCTATGTCTTGAGATGTTTATTGGAGTGTCCAATCAATTAGCAGAGCTTATTTATGATGATCACAAAAGGAAGTGTGAAAGTGCACTTTTAATAGGACATAATTTGTTTCCGCCATCTCTCTTGTTATTGCGTTCATGTTGGTACATCTGATGCACTGCCCCACTCACTTGAGAAAGATGGAATTTATTGCATGGGGGGAAATTGCTCGGTCTTCGCTCAGAGTACTTAGCAGACCACAGCAGTATGCCCTTCTGTTTCACAATTTCTTTTCCTAGGTCATCCAGAAAATCAGTGCTGTGGATAAAGATGAGCCATCCAATGGACACCAGTTCTACTTCAGCTTAACGATGGATCCAACAAATAATCACAACTTTTCCTTGAAAGATAACAAGGGTAGGTACTGTCTTTTGTGGAGGCAGCAAGTATAGACTCTAAGCAAACACTGTTTCTCCTTCAGGAATCCTGACTATAATTAAAAAACAAAAACAAAAACAAAAAAACAAAAGCATTAATTTAAGGACAGTGAGTGCCTCAAGTAATTTTAATCTGTAGATTTTCTGTCATGATGGAAAAGCTGCTTTTAAATTACCTTCTACTTAATGGCAAGTGAGAAAAGTTAGATCTATATTTTGTTTTCTTTGCTACTGGGCATTTGTTTTGCTACCAAGTTCTTTGTTCAAATGGTCTGTTGAAGGCCAATTAAATGTCTTCATAAGGATTGTGCTGCATAGATCCAAATTGAGACATTAGGAAAATAACTGAATATATACAGTTCAACCTAAATCAATTTTGGCTTGATATTTTCAAGAACAATATTTTGCATAAAAATAACAATGATCCATGGGAATACTAATTATGTTATAAGTACATTTTAGTAAGAGAATTCTATTTCTTTCTTTCTTTCTTTCTTTCTTTCTTTCTTTCTTTCTTTCTTTCTTTCTTTTTTCTTTCTTTCTTTCTTTCTTTCTTTTTTTTCAGAACCAGGGATTTGAACTCAGACCCTTGCACTTGCCAGGCAAGTGCTTATTCTACTGAGCCATCTCCCTGGCCCCTAGAGAATTCTATTTCTACATTGCATTTCCCTGCTAAAAAGTAATGTTTTGGCAATTCAGTAATTGCTGTTATAAGGCCCTATCTATAAGTAGATCCTGATTTTATTTGATAATATACTTAAACAATTATAAGACCTTTAAAGGAAGCATGGAAACTTGATTATATATTGCAAATTTATATATATGATTCCACTGGAAAATGTAAAAATATATAGCTTAAGTACTCAAATATGGGCTTGCTGAAAAGACTTGCTTTCAAAAGATGAGTATTATGAGGGCTTGTGCCTGTAGCCACAATCCTCTTTGCTGCAGAAAATCCAACCTTAGCCTCAAAAAATGCAATCTGAAAAGAATAATTTTTGCTTATCCAATTCTCCACTTACTGAAAACTCTGCTGTCACTTTATAAAAGAAAATATATTTTTATGTGGGTAATCTCTCTCTCGCTGACTTTACCATGGTTGGAAAGGATAATCCTCGGCTCTTGGAGTAATCAATCCAATATGGAGAATATCTGACTTTACGAGCAGAGTGTAAATGCATTTCCCCACGTGTCATGATCCCGAATCGCCATGGCTGTAGCATGGAAATGTCTGCACTCCCAGGACACTCACACTAGAGCCCCCAAGCTAGCTGTTGAAAGATGACATGTGAGAAGGAAGAAAACCAGTTCTTAAGGTGATTTTTCCATGTTATGGAACAAGAATAGAATAGTGCATTTTTATGGTTTCTTTCCTGAACACAGGGTTCTCATCTTAATTATGGTGAACGTCACCATATGCTCCTAATTCATTCTGTGTTGATGTATTATTCTGATAGCAGTCATGTTACATTACCAATCAATGACTTTATAGAACTTTTTATATGAAATTATAAATACATATAGCATCTAAACTGGTGAGTCACAAAGGTATAGATCTGTGCTATTGCTAAGTATGTAGAAACATATTGAAGAAAATGTTCCTTCACGATTCTGTATTTACCTTTACAATTTTATCTATTTTAAAATAAAATATTTGCTCATCTAGGAATCTGCCAGATGGAACCTGATCATTAAGTAAATGTTTTATTTTGTTTCCATTAATAAGTGCATCAGTATTTTTTCTGTTGTCTACATATAATCTTGTTTTGTGTTGCCTGAAAAGAATGAATGATTTTTAACTAGAATATTCTTTTTTTTTTCGCTTTCTTGTGATATTCTTCTTTTTTTTTCTTTTCAAAGTTTTATTGATAAACATATAGCAATGAGACAGTTTCAAATCAAATCGAAAGTACAGTTTCAACAAATAATACACTGCATAT